ACCTCCCCTCCCTACCGTGATTCTTTCCGAATTCACGACGGTCATAATTTGGTCGTGGAACCCGTGTCTCCGCTTCTTTCGAGACACTATTTTTCCGTCCCGGTTGACCCTTTTCCCTTTTGGCGTGAGAGAGCAGCCCCCCCCCCGTGATACTCAACCAACTGTAATCAATCAATCAAATCCTGAGCGATGGCAACCGTTTCAGCTCCCACCCCCAAGCTGGATCGCTATATTGTCATTCATGTCGCGACCACCTGCGATGAACATGGCGTCTACGTCACCAAGGACTCGGCAGAGGTGATCGAATTGGGGTGGATTTTGTTGGATGCCAAAACCTGCGAGGAGGTACGTTGCTGTTGGAGTTTAATAATCCCCTGTGAATCCAATTCACCCTTTCCCCTCCTGATGCTTTCATTTCCTCTTGCCTCCCGCCTCTGGGCTCGGACCACCACCTCGGAAATTGATCCCCCCCCCCCTCATGACAGCTGGCTAACAGGTTTGCTTCGATGTTTAGTTGCACCGTGAAAGTGTGCTCGTCAAGCCCGTCAACACCCCCATCACGCCGCTTTGCAGTAAGTGCACACCCACACACCTAATCAATCGTCATCCCGTCCAATGCCTGGCCATTCCCTCCCTGCCACACCTTTTCCCTCCACCCCGGATGTATCGGTCTGCTGGTCCAATGGCTGACGGTCTCCGAAAGCGAGCCTGACAACTCTGACATGGGAGCATGTTCGCTCGGCAGGTACTTTCCGCGATGCCATCGCCCGTTTCGACGAATTCGCCAAGGAACACCTTATCAGCAAGAACTTGGAGTTTGCTTTCGTGACGTTGGATTCGTGGGACCTTCGTGTACAACTCCCTCGTGAAGCCCGAGACAAGGCCGTCGTTCTTCCCGCATATCTCCAGCATTCCCGGACCTTCGATCTGCGAACCGAGTATCAGAGATGGCAGACTCATCACCCGAGTCCCTACCCTTCGGTCCCAGCTCCCTTTCCAACATCTGTGCCGCCCTCGAAGTCGAACCCGTTCAAACCTCTGCCCCCATCAAACACAACCTCCCCTTCCATCTGCAGGCGCTGGCTCCCGCATCGCCACGACGGGCCATGGAGGAAGCCATTACGCTGGCCCGCGTCCTCCGCGGCTTGATTCGCAAGTCTCAACCCCCGCATGAGCACCCCGAGATTTTGACCCGCCCCATGGATGCGAGAGCCGACGTTCGTGCCTTCCTGGCCGAGCGGAGCAAGGTGCTGCATTTGAGCGGTCTGCCCCACGATACGACCCAGTCCGAGCTCGAAAGCTGGTTTACACAGTTCGGCGGCCGTCCGATCGCCTTCTGGACCCTTCGGACTCCGGATCAGCACAAGCCTACCGGCACTGGCTTTGCGGTCTTCTCATCTCACGAAGAGGTATGGAACGACTTCACCCCCCCCCCCCCCCCCCCCTCCTCTACGGGAGTCCTATCGTGACAACTAACCCTCTCCGCAGGCTGCAGAAAGTCTCTGCATGAATGGTCGTG